AGTGTAAAACTTAGTTGTTAAGAGAATTGCCCTGCCCAGACTCTCATTCCAATGAGAATAAGTTGGAGGCCCAGGATACAGAGGACTTCCCAAGGTGGCATGATGAATCTGAATCAGTAGCAGCACTAGTCTTGAACCCAACCTTGCCATGTAAGTCTGCTGCGTGCGTGCTTCTGTGCCCTGCCCTTAAGCACCACTCGTGTCAGTTGGGAGGCTGCAGGAAGCTACAGCCATGCTTCAAGATCGTGTTACTTTTCACAAGGAAAACAAATGTCTACATATAGAACAATAAACAATACAGTGAAATTTAATAGAAGTGCAGAGGAGGGTATAATAGTAAAGGAGAGATTCATTAAACTCCGAGTCATGGCATCATAGATGGTTTGATTTGATTCTTAATAACCACATACTCTAATTTCATGATTTTATAGATGTTGAAACTGAAGGTTGGAGGTTAAGTGACATAATCTTGTATGTCTGAGTTGTTACTCTTAGCTGATAATTAATTTGGCAGAACTAGACATTCAACCTTTAGATAATGATTCCATATTCAGTGACCTTAATGCCACAGGTCAGAGTGGGCAGCAGTGAGGAGGGATGACTTCTGAGGCAGGGAAATCAAAGAAAGCCCTGAGTGTGCCCATTGCAAAGTAAGAAGTCACATGCACGGAGGAGTGGCTCTGTGTCCACAGAGAAGTGAGATGCACTGATACGAGGAAATCTGGGCCAGATGGTGGTGAAACAGGCAGCCACTGTGGCTTCTAGACCTGGGTGGGGATGTGATAGAAGCAGTACTTAGAAGATGATTCCAGGCTGGTCTGGATTGAATGTAGAAAAACCAGGAATACAGGTCCAGTGGTTGTTAAGAAAGCAAAGTTACAGTTTAAAGAGTAATCTATTGGAACTTGTTGATAAATTAGACTTAGGGTTAGGAGATGTGGAAGAAATGGTCAATGATCCTCAGGTTTTTGAATCTCATTGGCTGGAGGAAGATTATGTCAGAGAGAGAAATGAAACTGGGAAGAAGAATGGGCTGAGGGAGCAGGAGATGGTTAATTTTACCTTAGAGGTCTTTGTTTGGGTTATACAGCAGAATGTCTAGAGGGGTTGTCCTGGGGGCTGCTGAAGATAATCTGAGGTGTTCAATCTGGGCTTCGGGGGGTGTAGACCAACATGATCATTGCAGTGGTGGAAATGGATGAATTGAAACTCTCTGGGAAATGAAAGAGAAGTACTTAGGACTTTAATTTGTGGCTTTCAGCTTTAGGGACACCCCAAAAAGAAAAGGAGAGTCTATAACATCTGAGGAGAGGACATAGAGAGGTGTGGAGGTGATCAATGTCAAGGGTTCCTTGGGGCAGTGGCCAAATATCAGAGGGATCAAGAAAGGGTCCAAATTTGGTGTCACAGATGCTAACGTTGGTCCTGGAGAACATATTCACACATGTAACATGTAATGTACTGAGGGAGAGGGTAGGACAAAGGTGGTGTGTAAATAGCACATAGGATGTCCAGGGTGCTTGTATTTGATCCAGGACAGTGAACTGATGGCTCTGAGACAGCCAGAGATAGTGTTGAGGGACAGCTACAGGACAAAGTCCAATGAAAAGCCACTTGGGAACAATAGACAAGGACAAGCTTTGGGGATGGAATGTGTGGAACACTGGGAGGGACCAAAGCATCTGCTCAGTAATGGGACCCCTAGGCTCCCAGGTAGACTAGTCATGGACTTATCACTCCTCCTCAGTCTTTTGCACTCTAGGGGAGACACTGGTATTTGGGGTTGTACCAGGATCAGAGGTTTCTGGGGTTCCAGGGGGTCCAGCTAGACTGGACTGGCACTGAACTTCGGCTGGCTGGCTCTTTGAACTGACACTGACTGAGAATGAAAGTCATCAGCCTGCCTGTCCATCTTCCCAAAGGCCCTCCACTTGGTCTGCCCCAGGCAGACTTTAGCACAGCTACCAGGATGCCCATATATCTGCTGCCATAAAAAAAGGACCCCCAATAGTTTGGCTGAGAGAGAGCACAGCATCAAATAGACTTAATCGAGGCCACGCTGCTGTGGGCTTCCCTCGGCTGGGGATCATCTAGTGCTTTGCTACTCAAAGTAGAGTCCAGGGACCAACAGCATTAATGTCACTTGTTTGTGTGTTTGAAATACAGAGTCTCAGGTCTCACCCTACATGGAGGGAATCAGAATCTGTATTTTCATAAAAGCTGCAAATGATTTATTTATATGTTCTCAAAGAGAGAACTGTGCTGGTCTAGCAGCCCCAAGGCTGGCTGATCACTGGGATCACTTCAAGCCCAGGAAATACCCCATCAAGAGCTCCCAGGGGATTCAATGCACAGGTACTTTCAAGAGCCAGTTATTCTAACTGAACACTTCACTTAAAAAAATTAAAACTTACCTCATACTAAAAAGAAAATTCATATTCATATGGGAAGAATGCTGAGATGTTATAAAAACAAAAATCACTCATGATCCTGTTGCTGCAGTTCAGTGCTGTAGCAAAATGTGGACAGTCTGCTTTTCTGTGTGTCTCTGAATGCATGTGGATTTAAATGGAATCATAACATGTATTATTCATATCTTGCACTTTTCATTCAGTGTATTTTTAAATGATTTTTATTGTATTTTTCCATTACCATTTAGTCTCCTTGAAACTCCCTCCCCCACCAAGCACCACACTGTTGTCCATGTCCATGAGTCCTTTTTCCTTTTTGCTCAATCCCTCCACCCTCTAACCCCTCCTCACACTTATCTGTCTTCCTACTCTCTATCTATTTTGCTTGTTAGTTCAGTTTGTTCATTAGATTCCACATCTGAGTGAAATCATATGGTATTTGTCTTTCTCTGACTGGCTTATTTCACTTAGAATAATATTCTCTAGGTCCATCCATGCTGTCATAAAAGGTAAAACTTTTTTTAATGGCTGAGTAGTATTCCATTGTGTAAATGTCCCATAGTTATTTTATCCACTCATCTACTGATAGACACTTGGGCTGCATCAATATCTTGGCAATGGTAAATAACACAGCAATGAACATAGGGGTACTTATTTCTTTCTAATTAAGTGTTTTAGTTCCTTCAGACATATTACCAGAAGTGGGATCAGTGGATCAAAAGGCAGATCCATTTTTAATTTTTTGAGGTATCTCCATACTGTTTTCCACAGTGGCTGTACCGATCTGTACTCACACCAACAGTGCATAAGGGTCCCCCTTTCTCCACATCCTCTCCAGCACCTGTTTGTTGATTTACTAATGATAGCTATTCTGACAAGTGTGAGATGATATCTCACTGTGGTTTTAACTTGCATTTCTCTGATGTTTAGTGACATTGAACATCTTTTCATATATCTATTGGCCATCTGTGTGTCCTCTTTGGAGGACTGTCTATTCCGGTCCTTTGCCCATTTTTTAATTGGGTTGTGTGAGGTGTTTCTTTCTTTTTTTTTCTTTTTTTTTTTGCTGTTGAGTTTTATAAGTTCTTTATAAATTTTGGATATTAACCCTTTATCAGATGTATCAATGAATATATTCTCCCTTTCTGTGGGTTGTCTTTTTATTTTGTTGATGGCTTCTTTTGACATAATTTTTAAATCAATGGCCTATTATTTGGACACTTAGATTATTTCCAACTTCTCGCTATTGTAAAAAGTGATGTAGTAAACACTTTTATGACTAAATGTTTGGGCAACAGGTGAAATTACATAGTGCATAGACTTCTCTCTTACTTTGATCGCATAACCAACATCTGTCCAGATTTGAACTCCCGCCAGTGTCCTGTTATCCTTTGTTCATACCAGCCTTAAACTCTCACCACAAAGCCCCGGGACAGGAAATGGGTTGTGCCAAGGGACCAAGGGGCAGATCCAGCACTACAGCTGTCTTTGCTACACCCTCCTTCTAATGCCCAGGCCGGGGAGGTTGGTGCTTCTGAGATGGCTGGAAGCCCGCCATCAGCATCAACCTGTCCTCTTACCTGCCTCCCAAACACTCCTCAGTGCCACCCTTTCCCTCTCTGAGCTCTGCTCCTTTCCCCACCTTCCTCTTTCTCACCCCCTCTTATTTTCTACCCTCTTATATTTTTTCTACTATTTTCCCTTCTTGGTGAGAATCTTATTTACTTTGTAAACCTCAGCCCTGGTCATCCTTGCATTTTACTTTTCTGGGCTATTTTCCAACTCTTAGCATCCTCCTACCTTAATTCGTTTGGGTTCTTTTCAAACAGGATTCCAGACCAGTCTTTTTGAGGGTCATTTTAGGGTCAAGCTCTAGGGCTGGTAATCCAGCTGAAGTGGAGTCGTGTGGGGCTTTGTGGCCTGGGGTTTATGTGGGGACACAGGCTTCAGTTTGGAGCACTCATCCTCAAAAACACAAGTGTCTGCATCAAGCCAGTCCTGTTTCCATGTAGTGCAGATGGGGGAGCTTGCCGAGGTTTGGATAATTTCTCTTCCCTGGTCTCGGCAAGTTGACCCAGTCGCGAGGAACAATGCTCTCTAACTCTGCAGGGCGCCTGCTGTCCCTCAGAGCTGGGTTCTCCCCCCTCCACTAGGGGAAGGTGGCCTGCGGTGACTCCACGCCACTGGGAAGTGGGACAAGTTTTGAGTGGGCTCATCCTCAAGCTGTGAGGCTAGAGCCATCCGTTGCAGGCTTTGCCCTGAGAAGTACTCCTGGCCAAACAATTTGGGGAAACTTGTTCTCTAGTTTTCCAGGGCTGGTACCGGAGCACAGTCACAAAATCACACCCTGCCAGCTTGACGTGTTCCCAGATGGCCCCAAATGAGGGCAGCCAGAGCTGCCTGGAGCCTGCGGGGCTAGGGAGAGACCTCGGTGGACTCTGGGGACCAGTCACGGAACAGCGGCCGGACGGGACCTTCCACCCTGTGACTGGGGATTTGGGCACATGAGGTGTCTGTTCCCAGGTCCACTGCCTTCCTCTTACAGCTCTCCCCTCTTTTCCCCCAGCAAAGATAGTCACCTCTGCAGGAATGTGCTCCCTCCCCATGGCAAGATACTACATGTAAGTTGTTCCTTTCCTGATCGGGAGCCTGGGATGACATGGGAGAGGGAAAGAGGCTGAGTCAGAAGGACAAAGCTCCTTCTTACTTTAGAAACTCAAATGCCCCATAATTAAGCTTAATTGTCTCCCCCAATAACAATAACTCTTTTTCCTGAGCGTTTGCAAGATGCCAGTCATTCCGCTGTCTTGTCTCCATCCTAAGTAATTTTTGAGAAGATGTTACTAAGCTCATTTTACAGATCTGGAAACTGAGGCTCAGAGGTAAGACAAGTTCCCTGATGTCACCCAGACCCAGGACCCAGACTGCACATGCCGTGTGCTGCTCCATCCTCTCTCTAAAGGCTCAGAGACCAGTTTGAGTCTCGGTGACAACACCTGTATATGCTGGCTTCTGTGGCCTGTACTCCCAGTCTGGGTTTCTAAGCCTTACTTGTGTTTGATCTCATTTGACATTTCGGTGTTTACTTACAGTTTACTCTTTATCCCCTATGGCTTTTGCTGTAAATTACTTCCAGCCCTTAGAGAAGATGATGGGATGTAATGAAAATAAAATGTGTTGGCCTCTGGGGTGTCTTTCCTCAGCTCCTGCATGGGACTCTTGTCCCGACAGGGGGCCAGTCGGCGCCCCAGGAAGTTACAGCTTGGCTGGAAGGCAGGACACATGCACAAAACATGCTAATGACAAGACAGATGCCATACCTTAGAGAATCTAGCTTGGGTCCTGGTCTCCAGATAGACTCTTGCTGGCAGATGCGTGACATTAAGTCTTGGTGGAGCAGCTGGCAAGCTTAGGCTCCTCAGATCTTTATTTTTTATTGTATAAGTGAACTTGCTTTAAACACATACAGTCATTAGCTAAGGGCATTATAATAAGCTGTTATTGAGGCAGGAAAAGCTCCTGGAGGCAGTGGCTTTGGCCCAGAGCTTCTGCCCTGGAAGGTAAGGAAGACTTCTTGGGAATGAGAATGGCTGACAAGTGTCTTTGAAACCAGCCAGGCAACTGAGCTGATTGCTGGCACGACTTTGATGTTGTACATGCTTGCTCACCATGGTTTCCCTCCTGCCCAAGGCATGTAGTCACCCTCCCAGTTCCCTTGTTACAACCGCAGCCAAGCCCAGCAACTATCATCAGGCCCTCTTCAGCTGTCTGCTGACCTCCTTACTTGGCACACATAACATGGGCTCCCCAGAGCTCACCTGTCTGGTGCAGGGGGTCATGGAGCATATTTACCATCGCACAAGAATTTTTTTCCAGTCGTGCAGTGTCTCCTATTGAACAGCCTTTAAATACTTGAAAAACAATTCACACTTCAGTATGTACTAAATTGATTCTTTTAATAAGAGAATAAACATCTATGAGAAATTGAAGTGGCCCAGAAAACCTGGGAGAAGTCTCACTGTATCCAAGAGACATCACAGCATCATGAGGAGATTTTTCTGGAAGGCAGTGGAAAAGGGCTACATTGCCAGGAAAATTCTCTACCCTTCAGTGAAATGGCATCAGCTCCATTCAATGCTTTTGAGGGCCCTGACAGAACCCAAACCCTGTAAAGGGAGGAGGTACAGCCTCTGACCAGATCCAGGAGGCCTTTCCTGCCTTAAGATGACCTGGTCTTTACCTGCCCCCTTCTCACCTGTAGAAGGAGAAGAACCCCCCAGATACTTAGTAAGGTAATCAGACCGCAGGGTTTGGGACTCAGCGGTGGCTGAAGGATGTGGGTCATCAGCATTGCCATCCTGTTTCAGAATTAAGGATGCAGATCAGAAGGCTCTGTATGTAAGAGACGACCAGCTCCTGGTGGGAGATCCTGACGCGGACAACTGCTGTGCAGGTGAGCCCTGGAGCCCCATCCGCTGGGACGTGCCCAGGCTCCATCTGCCACAGGCTTTCTCCTTCTCTCCTACCTCTGGTGACAGTGAGTAGAGACAGGGAACAGCTGGGGACCTCTCCTAGTGAAAGGGTAGGAGCTTCAGTTCATCCTGCAGCTTGCAGCTGTGCCCTGGCGCAGTTCCTGCCTGAACTTTGCTTGTCGAGAGCTTGCAATGTGGGTCACCTCACATACTGGCTCTCTTCTGTCTCCCTTCCCAGAGAAGATCTGCGTACTTCCCAACAGAGGGCTGGACCGCACCAAAGTTCCCATCTTCCTGGGGATCCAGGGAGGCAGTCGCTGCCTGGCATGTGTGGAGACAGCAGAGGGGCCTTCTTTGAAGCTGGAGGTGAGATACATCCTGTTCCAGGGGACCCTGCAGACCCACCTGTCTTCCAGGACACTCTGGCATTTCTGCTCCCATCTGTGGGTTCCCCGCCAGGTCCACACGTCCCCTCCTGTGGTCCTCCACCATTTCCCTCTGCAACCAGTGCCAAGACCCTTGCACTGTAGAGCCCTCAGGAGGCAGTTCCCCAGCTAAAGATCCCACAACCCATCCAGCCCCTCACTGGCTAAGCCCTGAGGCTTCCAGGCTGACTGCTTGCTCATCAGCCTCATCCTGCAGCCGGCCACTTGCCCCTACAGGATGTGAACATCGAGGACCTGTACAAGGGCGGTGAACAGGCCACACGCTTCACGTTCTTCCAGAGAAGCTTGGGCTCTGCCTTCAGGCTCGAGGCTGCTGCCTGGCCTGGCTGGTTTCTCTGTGGCCCAGCAGAGCGCCAGCAGCCAGTACAACTCACCAAGGAGACCGAACCGTCCGCCTGCACTGAGTTCTACTTTGAACAAGGCCAGTAGAGAGGGAGGAGGCAGGGACTGTGCTCAGGGACCATGGTAGGCAGAGTAATGCCCCCAAAGATGTCTGTATCCCAGTCTCCAGAATCTAGGGATATGTTACCTTACAAGACAAAAGGGACTTTTCAGGTGTGATTGAGGTAAGGGTCTTGAGCCCTGGCTGGTCTGGTTCAGTGGATTGAGCGCCAGTCTGTGAACCAAACGGTTGCTGGTTCGATTCCCAATCAGGGAGCAAGCCTGGGTTGTGGGCCAGGTCCCCAGCTGGGGACCTGCGAGAGGCAAATGATCAATGTATCTCTTGTACAATGATGTTTCTCTCCCTTTCTTTCTCTTTCTTTTCCCCTCTCTCTAAAAATAAATCAATAAAATCTTTAAAAAGAAAAAGATAAGGGCCTTGAAATAGGGAGACTATTCTGGATAATGGGGGGAGGGAAGATGGGCAATGTTATCACATGGGTCCTCATAAGAAGGCGGCAGGAGGGCAAGAGTTTGGAAGATGCTGTGCTGCTAATTTTAAAGATGGTTTCTAGAAGTTAGAAAAGGCAAGGGAATGGATTCTTACCTAGAGCCTCCAGAAGGAGCCAGTGTTGCTAGCAACTTGACTTTAACCCCATGAAGCCCATTTCTGGCATGAATGTATTGTTTTAAGCACTAAGCTTGTGGTAGCTTGTTACAGTAGCTATAGGATACAGAGCCTCAGGCCACTGTGTACTATATCTAATACAGGGGGCAGGAGAACCTTGGTGAGTTCTTAGAAGGCTGGCCACAGCTTCTCTTTCAGCCCATCTGCTCCAGAGCTTCTAGGAACAGCCAAGAAGCCCAGGGAGAACCCAGCTCTCCCCCTCTGTCTGCAGACAGTGCCCTGGGTAGCTTACTTTTTCAGTTGTAGTTCAAGTCTCAATGATTCTTCGGTCAGATGCTTCATAATATATCAGTCATTCAATCTACTGATCAGTACCTTTATTTGTTTGCTTATTTTGATGTGTGTGAAGAGCAAGGAGGGGCAGTGTGGGACAGGCAGTGGGTTTCCACATGACAGACTGACTTTAAGTTTCCAGTGCAACTGATATGTTGAGGTGACTTTTTATAGCTGGGAATACAGGGCTGGAGAGTTGCAGTTAGATGTGTCTCTTGTCCTCAGAGCCTTGGTCCCTTTCCATTTCATGGAGGATCTGTGATAGGGCACCAGGCTCTGAGATGGTAGGCTGTTGGCTGGCACTCTTTCTCTCTGGTAAAACCACTCAGCATCCATGCCACAGGTGCCGTGGGCCAAGGGGTTTCAGAACAATACGTTCTCACCCAGAAAGACCCTGCAGGGGAAGCTCTTTACACACCCACAGCCCCCCGCCTTTTTAAAGTCCTCATTTGAGGACATTTTTTCATTGTTTTAGAACAGGGGTCCTCAACCCCTGGGCCTTGGACCAGTACCAGATAGGAACTGGGCTAGAACTGGGCCACGCAGCAGGAGGTGAGCAGCATGCAGGTAAGCGAAGCTTCATTCGCATTACCACCTGAGCTCCGCTTCATGTCTCCAACCACACCCCACCCTGTCAGTGGAAAAATTGTCTTCCACGAGAGAAAGATTGATGTGAGGGGGAATCATTGATTAGTTGCCACATTGATCAGTTGTCTTCTCACACATGCCCCAACCAGAGATTGAACCCACAGCCCAGGCATATACCCTGATCAGGAATTGAACCTGCAACCTTCCAGTCTACGGGATGACACTCCAACCAACTGAGCCACCTGGTTAAGGCCTTCCTTCTTTTTGACAAGCGAGAAACCTGTACTAAGAGAAGTGAAATAGCTTGCTATACATGTTGGAGCTCAGGATAAAACCTGGCCCATCTGAACCCAATGACATTCCACAATTTTTATTCCACTATTATTCCAGAAGATGGGGATAGAATGATGAACAAAACCAAGCTCCTTTGGAGCTGATAATTGAGTGTGAGAAACACTAAACAAGAAGATAAACAAACAAGAAAACAAACAAGGGCAATTTACTTGATAGAGGGTAAAGGCAGTAGGTATTCATGGCAACAGAGAGGGTGGTCGGGAAGGAGACTCTTTTTTTTTGAGGAGGTAACATGTGAGCTGAAGCTGAAGGACAGAAAGGAGTAGGACAAGGAGTGATCTGGGAAGGAGCAGCAAATGCAGAGGCTTGGCGTTCACTTGCCCGCAGAAGGCCAGAGGTGCAGGAGCGTGGGAACAGTGGAGAGGGTCAGGAGGTGAGCAAGGCCGTAGGGCTGGATCAGAGGGCCTTGAAGGTAAGGTAAGAGCTTTGGTTCTTTTTTTAAATGCAAAGGGAAGTCAAGAGAAGGTTTTAAGTAGAGGATAGACATGCTGGCTTCATGGCTCCAATGAGTCTAGATTCTTTTCCTGCCTTTCCATGGCCTGGCGTTTATGCATTGGGACTATGCTGTGTTTTGAGGACATATTTTGTTTAATTTTGGTTCACTAGTGCTCAGAGAAGCTGCTGGTACCCCAGGGGGTGCTGAGAAAGTACAAAATCTTGAACAAATAGTGGACAATCGTTGGTTCTTGTTGGATACAGCCCGAGGAGAGCTATGGCAGCAAGGGGACAGATGCCACTGCAGCATGAAAGGGAAGCTGGCAGAGGGGCCAGGCAGGGCTTCAAAAGACAGGGCATCTGGACCTCAGAGAAAAAGTGCTTTTCTGGACAGAGAGTGTGGGGAGGGGCATTCCAGGCAGCAAGAACGAGTCAGGGAGGTGTGATGACCGAGAGATGACCTGGCGCATTGTGAGCCATCCACATGGCTGGGAACCAGGGGTTGCTGAAAACTAAGATGAGAAGACAGGCAGGATCTGATGGTGAACACCTGAGAAGGAGGTTAAATTCTATCCAGGAGGCTAAACTTTATTCAGTAGGTTTGGAGGAAGCATCCAAGTATTTCAAATTGGACTCCTGGGTTTTAAGCCTGGACCCCAGAGGTCACCGCTATACCCACCAGCTGCTACTAAGGCTTCAGCTCAGCCCAGTTTCCTCTCATTTCCTCCTCATCCACATGTCTTCTGCTTGGTGCTGCCCTGGGGACAAATTGGCAGCCTGGTTCCAAGGTTGGCCTGCACCATTTCTTGCCAGTCACTCGTCTTTTTCACCCATGGTAACTCAGTGTGACCCAGCTTGAGCAGAGCCCACGAGTGGCAGAGACATGGGTTTGCCTGGGTGGCCACGCGCACAGCTCACTAGAGAAGGGCCAGCCAAGGTGAATTGGATTAAGTTCTCTACTTATGTAAAAAAACACTTTGAACATCTACTATATACCAGCTCTGTATTAGTGCTTGGGAGAGGAAGAGGATACACAAGATTTAAAAGACACGGTCCCAAAGGGAGTCTGTCAGGCTCTGGCAGAAATAACAATGGATGTTCTGGCCCTGGGGATTTCAGAGTAAGAAATGGAAGTAACTTCTGAGAGATGCTGTTCAGAGATGCCACCTCCCCAGGCTGTCCCTTAAATTCCTCTTCCTCCCTGGTGACCACACCAGAGGCTTCATTACACAACCAGCCCATCAGACAACCCATCACCTAAGTTCCCGGGAGAGGCACACTTTAGGTCTTACCTACTGTTTACATCTCAGAGTGAACTAGAAAGTTGGAGCCAGAGACAGTAAACGGGTGATTTGAATGCACTGTGGTAATCTCTCACGGGGCAGGCATGGGGCCAGTCAGGTGGGGGACTGGGAGGCGCGGGCAGGTCACGATGATCCAGGCAAAGGAGACAGCCACACATAGGCCTGAGGGAGGCACTGTGTGTGGCCACATGTGTGTTAATGCACACATGTATGTGCACATGTGTGTGGCATGCGTGTGCACACACATGAAACTGTGCTTGCCTGTGTGCCGCATATGCTATGGGAGAGCATGGGTGTATGGGTGTGTGTGTATGCATGACCTTGTGTGCATGTGTCTGGGTGTGTGTGAACTGGGTGTATCCACTAGAGGATCCACACATGGGCAGTAGTTGATGCATAAAAGGCCATGTCTTTATTTCTGGAATCTCTGGGGCAACATCATCCAAGGGGGTGATGTATTCAGGGACTTCTGTAACCTGTGGGTCATTCCAAGCAGGATTCAAAATGTAGTCACATTCCCTTTTTCATCTTGTGATCCCACCACACACTACTGTAGGCCGTGCAAACAACTGCTCAAAACGTCGGACACAAAACCCTACCGTCTGCACAATTCAGGGCAGTTCTAGGCTGGTCTACACCCAGATTTAGGGAGGAAAAGTGAAAATAAGAATGAGAACTCTAATGGGAACAAACTTTTCCTGGATACCGTTCTGCTAAAAGAGATAACCAGAAATGAACATGACAAAAATAAATAAAATGAGCATAAACAGAGAAGTTTATGTCTTAGTCAGAAGCACTGGTATTTGAGTTATTTGACTAGAAGCACTGGTATTTGAGTTATTTGACTACATTTCTGGTTGGATTTTATATTCGTGTAACTAAAAGTGTTTGCTAGTGTTTTACAGAGCAAAGAGTGTCTCTACCCCCAAGCAAATTCCAATCTTTGCCCTCAAAATATGTTAACTCCAAGCATCTCAGCCCGTCTTCAGAGCTCATTCTGAGGCCAGGGGCCTGCAGCTCAGTTTTTGGTCTGCAGGTGGCAGCAAAGATCCACTTCTGTAGCATTTTAGGGGCTGAGCTGAGCGAGCAATTACACAGAAGTCCCGGTGTTTATTACCACTAGTGACAACTCTGAGCCCCAAATCTCCACTTGACTTACAGTAAATGCACCTACCTCAGACGATGTGCGACCCCTTCCTTCCCACAGCAGCAGTTTCCTAGCAACCCCTAACAAGAGGAACAGGGCTCTGCTCCCTGGGACCTTAGAGCCCGGGAGAGAAGAGAGTTGTAAACACATTCTCTTAAGTTTTGTGCATGTATGTAAAGGAGCAGCTGGGCCGGATTCCTCCTCCTGTGACCGCCACTTTGCAGTGAGTCCTCTGCTCCCACCCTTTTTCTCTCTAACC